TGGAGTCTGATCTTAATAGGTCTAAGCAGCCTCTGCACTGGGTACCTTCAACTCCCACAGACTAACAGGAATTGAAGGTGCTGATGCTGAGAACCTCACAGGATCAGGCCCATATTTCTAGGTTTCTTGTGGGGGTTATTAGATCTAAAACCATCCACCCGCTTTGTATCTCATTTTAGGCATTGGGTAGCCCCAGTAACTTGTGCTTTGGGGGCACGTTGAGATGTTCCATGCTGGGAGGGGTGCAGGAGTTACGAATTAGACTTTGACTGGACCGTGAAACAGAAACGTCAGACGGATCTGGTTTCCTCTAAATAAAGGCGGTTGAAATGACACATTCTAAAAAAGCCACCCCCACAGAATGAGACCACTCAGCTGCCACAAGTTCAGGAGGAAGTGAAACAGTCAAGAGAAAGGAAGTCCGAAACAAAATCCATTTGTCAGTATGTTTTAGATTCGAGAAAACACAGAGCCCTGCCTTCATTGAGACCGCACCGGAAGTGCAGATAGCTACCTACAGTCCACATTCTGCTGTCTGAAGAAAGAACCAGGCGAGACCATGAGGAGTTTCCTTGTCTGGGCTTGGATTCTTTTCCCAGGTGAGATGAGATTCTTTATGTCAATAGAAATAGACCCGGGAGGCAGACCTGCTCCCATTGGGGCAATAGGAGCTGTGGCTGCTACACATTCCTGCAATCAGGTCCTCTACCCAAGTGCCTGACATTAGGCACAGGTTTGAACAGATGACAGCAGAGAATGTCCTAGTTTAAAGCCAACCTGCAGGAATCCCCATGGACCTGGAGAAAATGTCCTACCTAAAAGCCAAAACATTTCAATGCTGCAGTGGGTTGAAGTGGTCTGGAAGATCTCACAAACCAGGGCCCTTTTAGTACCACAGTTTCTCCATTAAGATAGGGGGAGGAATTACCCCCTAATAATTGTACCCTACCCTGCCACCGATGGCTCCGGAGGATTGTCCTCTAACTTCTCTTAACACATTTTCCTCTCCTCCCTCAAACCCCATGCGGCAAGTTGGTTTGAGAAGGAATTTCACTGCAGTCAAGTGCTCTGCAGATGGTAGTAACATCCCCAGCGCAGTCACTTCCAAGTGGGATGTAGACTGGTTATGCACCTATTTTTTGTTTGCTTGCTTTTTAAATACCATTCTAAGGTTGGCTTTTCAATGTCACACACGTGACGCAGGAGAACAAGTGGCACTGAAAGGCACTGGGACCTGGGCTCCTAAGTCACTTAGACACCTGACAAACCTGACCAATGCAGTGAGTATTTCTATCTGAAAAGGAACAAAAGGAGAATAATACCATGATTTTTGAGGAGGGGGAGGACAGGGGGGAAGATTAGAAAAGAGCCAAGACACATTCACTATGTGTAAACCCACTGCAGCCATCATTCAGATGGACCAGGGCACTCTCACGAGCAAACACTTTAGTCTCCATGGAAATCTCTGTTAGAGGTTGGCTTTGGGTACCATAGTGGGGAGTGGTGACCTGCAGGTTGGTGGTGGTAACTGAACACCATTGCATACTAATGGTAAAGGAGTCATATGATCACAGAGATGACTGATAAGTGTGATGTCCATTGCCAAACATCAGGTGCCTGGCAGAGTTTGTTTCATACTCAGTTTAGTTTTCTACTTCCTATGTAACATAGGTCCTTGTGAGCTTGCCTGCTCCCTCCACCCGTCCCAAAAGTTAACTAGAGCAGCAGTGGGTTCCCCTCCATGATGAGAAGTGATGCTAATGTCATAGTTTAGCTGATCTCAGCAATGTCAAGGAGGCTCTCCAATACCCTGCCCAGCACTGGAGTGTCTGAGCATATGATAGGAGATTAAGCATTTAGAAGATTTTCAGACTCTCCTAAACTGGTTTGTCATATCCCCAATATAATAAAGTTGTGGGAAAGCTAAGTCAGGGAATCCTCTGTGGCATTCTCAGGTTCACTGTCCCAGACGAGAAAGCGCAGTGTTTTAGAAGGACACTAACACAGAAAGCAGAACGGGGATTTTTAATGTTTCTCTTTGGCTTTGTGTGGGGGTGGGGAGAGGAGATGAAGTCGCAAATGATTCCATCTCCCCACTACCCCACACTGGGAACAAATCGCCTTACATCTATTGGCTATTCATCCTAGTCTTAAGCCCCACCTCCTGCATTACCAGAGCATGAGTTTCTCAAATGCAACCACCATGACTGCATGTGGCCGCCAGGGGCTTTTCGTGCAGCCACAGCCTCCTCGGTGGTGGCCGGGTGGGAGGGAGGGGGACGAAAGCAATGTTAATCATACAGATATCACTTTCCACGGAAACAGACTTACTAGTTGGCAAGTCTTAAAAAAAGCAACCAACCAAACGACAAAAGACAAGAACATGCAAAGCACCTGTTTTGTTTCTATTCTATTTAAGTCCAGTAAAGAATAGAGACAACTGTACATTATTTTTATTATTGAGTCTGCAATAAAAATCTACCCAAATGAATTACAATGATTTGGACATAAATATGTGAATATTTATTTCTTTTTCCTAAAGTTTATTAAGTACTTTAGGAAAAAGTGTCAGGACGGCCACCAGTGAATTGGTGGCTGCACTCAGAGGCCACCAAAACATTTCTTGTGAGACCTATCCTCCCAACACCCCTGTGAGGCAGGAAAGCACCATTATCCCCAAGGGAACTGAAGCAGAGAGAGGTGAAGAAACTTGCCCAGGGTCACACAAAGAGTCTGTGGCGGACTGGGAACTTGGACCCAGATCTCCTAAGGCCCAGGCTATCAGCTCTCACCACCTTACATCCACCACAAAGCAGCTGTCTCCTTCCACACAGGAATATCCATGCACAAAAGCTTGGTATGGCTAACTAGTTCTGAACTTTGTCTCTTTGTCACTGGTTTTTGCTCAGCAGGAAAGCAATGAAAGCAATTTTGTCTTTTGCAGGCTGTTGGGCTCTGTCCGGCCCTAGGGAGGTGAGCGGCCCTTTGGGAGGGTCGGTGTCTGTGCAGTGTCAGTACGATGGGGGGTACCAGAACTATAAGAAATACTGGTGCAAAGGAAAAGACTGGTTATCCTGCTCCATAGCTGTTCAGACCATCAGTTCAGAGGCCGAGGTGGTAGGGGACAGAGTCTCCATCCAAGACAATCACACGCAGTTCACGTTCACTGTGACCATGCGGAGCCTGGCAGTGGGCGACCAGGATATTTACTGGTGTGGGATAGAGAAGAGCGGCTATGACAAGATGTTTGCTGTCAA